GACAACATGATGAATTTCCCTGCTGAGGGCAGAACAATTACAGAAGTTGGGGTGCTAAATCTGAACTCCACTGAAGTCAATAGGAGCTGAATGTTAAAAATCAGTTCTGATAATTTTCTAGGTTTATAGGCAAGAAATTGTGAAACACATGACCGGGGGGGGGGGGGGGGGGGGGGGGGGGGGTGTTGGGGCTGCCCTGGGCAACATGTACTACAGAAAAAAAATTGTAAAAGAGTTATGTTTGGCAGGGAGCCGCAATTTTAATAATGCTGAAAGTGAAAAATTGAAAGGACAATGTGGCAAAGTGGCGCATCTGTACAATGTATACAGCTTACTGCAGAAAAAAAAAAAAAAATGCTGCTTAAATTGCCTGGGGTTGACTGCTCAGCTCCTTTATGTATACTTATCATTAATATTAACAACCCCCAAAAAAGCCAACAGTGTAAATTCATCGTCAATCATGTCTTCCAGTGATTCAAATCAATGTCACTCAAGATAAACAAGACTTGATGGCACCCAAAGAAAAAACAAAGAGTTTGTAGAGTATGTTCATGTGATGTCACCCAGGAGACCACCAAGAGGCCCCTATTCTCATCAATGTGGGAACAAGATTCTTTAATGGGGGGGTCTCCCCTGACAAGGTAACCCCCCATGTTATTTTTTACATGGGGGCTTATTATGAATTATGAGGGTAACCCCTCACTGAGTTTTCTTAACTATGCCAGCCGATTTGTTTACATGGCCGAGGATTTCATTCCAGTAAATAAATGCTAAGGACATGGCAGGAGCTGCCACCTACTGCTTCCTTACCAACCTTGACCGAGGAGAAAGGAAGCTGTCATGTAAAGCAACGGTACGCAAAATCCATTACTATATATGATGTTCAGCTCCTGTGGAATGGGCTGAAAGTGTGGCGCATGGACAAACATTCAAAGAAGCAACCATATCTGCCTGAAACTGGTGTGTTAGCTAACCACTGCAATTCTGCAATCTGGTTGCAAGATTCAGCCGATTGACAATTGTTCTTGTAAAAAAATGTCTGAACATGTCAATTTTTCTATGTAACAAAAATATACAGCATAGGTTTATCTTGCTTTTAGAGATTCATCTACAGTATATTCTCATTATCTTCTTCTGCTGATCTACTCTACCACCCTCCAACATCAAAAGGAATATTAACTTTCTACTCCTTCAGTTATAGGGTACTTATACAATAATATTTTTGATTTCCACCCAAAGATCATTGGCTTGGCTGCAATTGGCTGCAATGACAAAATAGAATACTGTTGCACCAAGAGGCCCCTAAAAAAAGCCTAATAACATATCTATAATAGATATTTCAATTAAAGAGACAAAATACATTTCCGGTATATTGAATTTTATATTATTGCAATAAATTATGTGTTAGTATTCATAATTGCTGACAAAAATGAATGCAATTTAAGGCATATAGAAGAATCCAGAGTTATTGGCAGAAATATAGTTTAATGAAGGCATATCCTTTTTCTTTTTGGTTACAGAGACGCTGAGACTTTATAATGTTATTTGTGTGCAATTGTGACTTTGGATTTGTACTAATGACAGAGATGATAAATATCCTGATTTTATCACATATGAGTAAACCATTGAAGATACTCTGAATAAAATAATTCAATCTGAAAAAATCGAAAAAAATTGGGTATTTCTAACATATTTGTTATATTTCATATATTTTTTTATACTAGTGTGTATGTGTGTGACATAAAGCTATGCTCATCCTTCTTATCGGTAGCTGTTATCTTTGAACTTTATCAAAAGGCAAATCTTTTTTTTTTACATTTTGGATAGAGAAGGGGTTAAACTCTTGTTGGGTTTATTTTTGCCATCTGTGCCTCATTAAAGTGGAACTTTACTCAGATAAGTAAGTCCTGCTCCATCACTTTATGCTGAACCTTTTTCAGGTATAGCTCAGAGATGGTAGAAAAAAATTAAGACCTACTCTCATGGAGAAACTGCAGCTTAAAAGAGAACCCCTGCCTGCAGTGAATACCAAGTGCCTGGAGTATTTTCATAATGGGTTTGAATTACCTTAGTACACATGTTCCTGGAAATCCAGAGAGGACTTGTTCCTTTCAGTCTGCAGGAGGCATTCCTTGTAGTAGACATGCAACTGCACAAAACCTTCCTGTGTAAGCCCATAAAGGTTGCATTTTGAGAGAGCCCTATGGATCCTGTCAAATTCAAGTCTCTCAATATTCAACCCAGTAGCTAACTCCTGAAACAGTGCTGTTACAGAGTACTGCAAGTCCACAATAGTTTCTTGTAGCCCCGCAAATGCAGATTGGATCTGTGGTCACTGTTTTCAGAGTCCTCAAGCTGAAAAAGTAGGGATATGTTAATTTGGTGCAGTCTATCTATTTCATCCTCATGGCCATCTATAACTGTATTTATATCATTACAGTGATGTTCAAATAACAATGTCCTTTTAACAACATCATAAATTTCATTAATAAGCTGAGAAGTGCTTGGTATGGAGACCTTGTCTAGAGCCTGGTTCAGGGTACTTTCAAACTGTGCCATGAGAGCAGCCAAATCTACTGATTCAGGTTGTGAGGGAGAGACGTCATCACCTAGAGTAGTGGTCTCCAAACTGCAGCCTGGGGGCCAGATGCAGCCCTTTGCTTGCCTCTATTTGACCCTTGGGGCACTAGTCCTCCCACTGGTAGGAGACATTATTCCTCCCACTGACACCAAATGTCAGGGCTCCCGGGTGTGACCAGAGGTATGTGACTGACGCAGGGAAACGCAGACTTCAGATATGTTATAAACAATATAATTTATTAACACTAACAATACAAACATAAACGCAGTGCAAACAAACCAAACCAACCACCCACAGATAACAGTACATACAATGCAAGCGTCGTCAGGCAGGCCGGGTCAATATCAATTGGGCAGGTAGGTACAGGGGGAGCAAGTGGAGAATGGTCGGGGTCACAGGCCAGGTTCAGCAGGTAGCGGGCAGCGTGGTACAGAGGGTCAGGCAGAGGGATGGTCACGGTCACAAGCCAGGGATCAGAACAGGAGAAGTCAGCAGAGGTCAGAATCAAGCAGGGTCAGCAACAAGACAGGAACAGGAACAGGAACGCAGGTTTACAAGATACAGGGCCCAGGAAAAACACACCAAGGCAGAGTCTGCAGGTCTGAATGTCCCTTAAATACACCAGTATAATTAGTTCCAGGTGTTTGACTGGCTGCAAGGTTGAGTCTCTGATTGCTGGGAGCACCCGCTGGCCAGCCCTGGTACTGCAGCTCATAAGGCAGGTGAGTCCCACTATTGCTGGCCAGTCCATTCCTGACAGTACCCCCCTCCTCAAGGAGCGGCCTCAGGACGCTCCAAACCGTCCTAGCTGGGCAAAATGTTCCACCGCCCGGGTCTGGTAACTGGCGGGATATCAAAGACTGGCACACTGGGCAGGACTCCGGGCAGCGGCACACCGGGCAGGACTCCAGGCAGCGGCACACCGGGCAGGGGCACACCGGGCAGAGGCACACACCGGGAAGAGGCACACCGGGCAGAGGCACATCGGACTGGACTCCGGGCAGAGGCACATCGGGCTGGACTCCGGGCAGAGGCACATCGGGCTGGACTCCGGGCAGAGGCACATCGGGCTGGACTCCGGGCAGAGGCACTCTGGGCAGCGGCACACCGGGCAGAGGCACTCCGGGCAGAGGCACATCGGGCTGGACTCCGGGCAGAGGCACATCGGGCTGGACTCCGGGCAGAGGCACATCGGGCTGGACTCCGGGCAGAGGCACATCGGGCTGGACTCCGGGCAGAGGCACATCGGATTACCAGGCGAAGCAGCAGGCACCGGGCCACCGGGCGGAGCAGCAGGCACCGGGCCACCGGGCGGAGAGCAGCAGGCACCGGGCCACCGGGCGGAGCAGCAGGAAGCGGGCCACCAGGCGGAGCAGCAGGCAGCGGGCCCCCCGGCGGGGTGACAGGCATCGGGCCCCCAGGCGGGGCGACAGGCACCGGGCCCCCCGGCGGGGCGACAGGCACCGGGCCCCCCGGCGGGGCGACAGGCATCGGGCCCCCAAGCGGAGCGGCGGGCGCCGGGCCCCCAGGGAGGGGCGACAGGCATCGGGCCCCCAGGCGGGGTGACAGGCATCGGGCCCCCCGGCGGGGTGACGGGCATCGGGCCCCCAAGCGGAGCGGTGGGCGCCGGGCCCCCAAGCAGAGCGGCGGGCGCCGGGCCCCCAAGCGGAGGGGCGACAGGCATCGGGCCCCCAAGCGGAGGGGCGACAGGCATCGGGCCCCCAGGCGGGGCGACAGGCATCGGGCCCCCAGGAGGGGCGACAGGCATCGGGCCCCCAGGAGGGGTGACAGGCATCGGGCCCCCAGGCGGGGCGACAGGCATCGGGCCCCCAGGCGGGGCAACAGGCATCGGGCCCCCAGGCGGAGTGACAGGTCTTGGGCCCCCAGGCGGAGCGGCGGCGCCGGACCCCCAGGCGGAGCGACAGGTCTTGGGCCCCCAGGCGGAGCGGCGGGCGCCGGACCCCCAGGTGGAGCGACAGGTCTCGGGCCCCCAGGTGGAGCGGCGGACGCCGGACCCCCAGGCGGAGCGACGGGCACCGAGTCACCAGGCACGACAGTGGGCTCCGAGTCAACTGGCAAGACTGCGGGCACCGAGCCAACTGGCGGAACAGCGGGCTTCGAGTCGTCTGGCAAGACTGCGGGCACCGAGTCGTCTGGCAAGACTGCGGGCACCGAGTCGTCTGGCAAGACTGCGGGCACCGAGTCGTCTGGCAAGACTGCGGGCACCGAGTCAACTGGCGGAACAGCGGGCATCGAGTCAACTGGCGGAACAGCGGGCTTCGAGTCGTCTGGCAAGACTGCGGGCATCGAGTCGTCTGGCAAGACTGCGGGCACCGAGTCGTCTGGCAAGACTGCGGGCACCGAGTCGTCTGGCGGAACAGCGGGCTTCAAGTCGTCTGGCAAGACTGCGGGCACCGAGTCGTCTGGCAAGACTGCGGGCACCGAGTCGTCTGGCAAGACTGCGGGCACCGAGTCGTCTGGCGGAACAGCGGGCATCGAGTCAACTGGCAGAACAGCGGGCACCGAGTCGTCTGGCAAGACTGCGGGCACCGAGTCATCTGGCAAGACTGCGGGCACCGAGTCGTCTGGCAAGACTGTGGGCACCGAGTCGTCTGGCAAGACTGCGGGCACCGAGTCACCTGGCGGAACAGCGGGCATCGAGTCAACTGGCGGAACAGCGGGCACCGAGTCGTCTGGCAAGACTGCGGGCACCGAATCACCAGGCACGACAGTGGGCTCTGACTCAATTGGCACGACAGCGGGCACCGGGTCATCAGGTACCGGATTGTCTGGCTCGACAGCGGGCATCGGGTCACCAGGTATGACAGCGGGCACTGGGTCACCAGGCATCAGGTCATTTGGCTTGCCAGCGGGCACCGCGTCATCTGGCAAGGCAGTGGGCAACGGATCATCAGGTACCGGATTGTCTGGCTCGACAGCGGGCATCGGGTCACCAGGCCTAATAGGATCGTCAGGCTGGATCAGTTCATCATGCTGGGTAGAGGCATCAGGCTGAATGCAGGCATCCGGCTGAGTAAAGGCATCAGGCTGAGTAGAGGCATCAGGCTGAGTAGAGGCATCAGGCTGAGCAGAGGCATCAGGCTGAGTAGAGGCTTCAGGCTGAGTAGAGGCTTCAGGCTGACTAGAGGCTTCAGGCTGAGTAGAGGCATCAGGCTGAGTAGAGGCTTCAGGCTGAGTAGAGGCTTCAGGCTGAGTAGAGGCATCAGGCTGAATAGAGGCATCAGGCTGAATAGAGGCATCAGGCCGAGTAGAGGCTTCAGGCCGAGAAGAGGCTTCAGGCCGAGTAGAGGCATCAGGCTGAGTAGAGGCATCAGGCTGAGTAGAGGCTTCAGGCTGAGTAGAGGCTTCAGGCTGAGTAGAGGCATCAGGCTGAATAGAGGCATCAGGCTGAATAGAGGCATCAGGCTGAGTAGAGGCATCAGGCTGAAGAGAGGCATCAGGCTGAGTAGAGGATTCAGGCTGAGTAGAGGATTCAGGCTGAGTAGAGGATTCAGGCTGAGCCACGGAAGGCAGGTTCACCGGTTTGGATACTGGCAGGATGGTATTGGTTGGAAAGAATTTTCGCTTTTTTCTGGTTTTAACTACTGGAGCACTGCAAGTAAACTCAGGTCTGCAAACGAATGGAGCAGCTGGAGACAGAGAAGAGCTGGAGGATGGAACAGAGGAGGGGGAGCAGTTGCTACAGAGGCTTTTTTACAGGGTTAAAGGCAGGATAGGTGCAGCGAGTGGGAACAGGGTACTGACATGCGGTAGATAGCAGGGCAGGAGGAGCTGTTGGGAATGCAGGAATAGAGCTTTGAGGAAATAGATTAGAAGCAGGACTGGGTTTTTGTAAGCTGACTGAGGCTGGGTGCAACAAGTCTGTCCATGTCTGCAGTATGGGTTGAACAAAGCTGAGCTTACACAAAGCCTGTCTGGTCAATGACTGCACTGCGTTTATACAATCTCTTAGTATCTGTGGTGAACATGCAGAATAACGCTCCAAGAAGCAATCCACATCATCCTCTAATAACCATACCAGGGACTCTACCTGGTCGGCACACTAAATGGCGGCAAAAATTCATCCCTGCATTCGGGGGTACCAGATGAAACCAACTCCGCACAAACCTGAATCAATGGCTGCACCTCAGAGAATTCTGTGCCCTGATCTACTAGAACATGAGCGAGCCGTATACATTCTAGCAGTTCATCCCGGGGATACTCCTTCAGAGTTTGATAAGCATACTCTCTGTCATCAAAACACTAGCAGATATAAATACACAACCTCATCAAGATCCATCCTTCCCATCAACAAACCAAGATGGCTTCCCTGTGCAGCCACTTCTGGTCAGGATTGGCCTTGGTGTAATGTCAGGGCTCCCGGGTATGACCAGAGGTGTGTGACTGACGCAGGGAAACGCAGACTTCAGATATGTTATAAACAATATAATTTATTAACACTAACAATACAAACATAAACGCAGTGCAATACTAAAACATAACACAGTGCAAACAAACCAAACCAACCACCCACAGATAACAGTACATACAATGCAAGCGTCGTCAGGCAGGCCGGGTCAATATCAATCGGGCAGGTAGGTACAGGGGGAGCAAGCGGAGAATGGTCGGGGTCACAGGCTAGGTTCAGCAGGTAGCGGGCAGCGTGGTACAGAGGGTCAGGCAGAGGGATGGTCAGGGTCACAAGCCAGGGATCAGAACAGGAGAAGTCAGCAGAGGTCAGAATCAAGCAGGGTCAGCAACAAGACAGGAACAGGAACAGGAACAGGAACGCAGGTTTACAAGATACAGGGCCCAGGAAAAACACACCAAGGCAGAGTCTGCAGGTCTGAATGTCCCTTAAATACACCAGTATAATTAGTTCCAGGTGTTTGACTGGCTGCAAGGTTGAGTCTCTGATTGCTGGGAGCACCCGCTGGCCAGCCCTGGTACTGCAGCTCATAAGGCAGGTGAGTCCCACTATTGCTGGCCAGTCCATTCCTGACACCAACAATGAGATATAATTCCTACCAATGGCACCAACAATAGGGCACTATTCCTTCCCCTAATATCAAAGGACCATTATTACCCCCACTGGCCACAGTCCAGCCCTCCTAAAGTCTGAAGGACAGTAAATTGGCCCTTTGTTTAGAAAGTTAGGACCCTTGACCTATAGGAATAAAGACATTCTTTGCTTCCAGGATGTCTTCTTGTGTCGAGGCAGCTACCTTTGCCATCTTGTGAGATGCTCTGCCCAGGGCTCCCCTTAGTGTGGACTGGCTGGATTTGGACTTTTCCACAGTGTCGGATGCACCATGATTGCCCCAGGGGGATCCTGGAGTGTTAGCAGTTCTGATCCAGATGCAAAGTGGGAGCAAGACTTTCTGTTAGAGGACAGTAAGACTATTCATATCCCGATCTGGTCCGGAGCTGCCCAGGAAGTGTCTATACTCTGTAGCTGTATGCATGAGCCTCACAATCCAGGCTTTCAAAATATCACATGGTCACTAAATTGTATCCAAACTCAAAATAAAAAAGTAACATATTACAGTTTACCAGTTGTTAGATTTGGTGGTTTCAATATTTTTCATTTTTCAAGATCTTTGTCCCTTTATTTTCACCTAGTGATCCGGCCAGTAAAATATTAGAAAGCTACAATGAATCAAAACTGACTTGTTATGTTATTTTTACTGTCACACAAAACATATGAAAAGCTAAAACTCTAAACTCCAAAAATCCAAACACAATACATTTTGATTATTTTAATAACTAAAAAGCAATGTGAATAATCTATGCAGAATTAAATTTATGTTTCTTTGACTAAAGCATTTGCTGTAGTTGATAACAGGTTTCATGCTGTAGGCTAAACTATTTGATTTGCAAATCAGCCTAATATTTTTATTTTAATAAGAAGAACCCTCAGGTAATGTGAAAAATATCCTTTGATCGTCATTTTTAAACCTTTACCTTTGATAGTGTGAGGAAACGTAGCTATACTGCGGCATTACTGTTTTCATACGAAAGCTAAACCCAAAACAGATGTTTCAGGAATGTTCATATTTTAAACAACTGGATTCTTTGTACAGCATTCCGGACATTATTCTTATTGACACAACTTCACTTTTTGTTATACTAAAATTACTTTTAAAATCTTTGGCTTCTTTTATATTTTGCCTGTTTTCAGTTAGACTATTATTTACTAACCATTCATTCCTATATTACATTGCATATACTCAGTACTAGGTTAGGGTGTTTGATCAGATCAGAAGTTAGTCCAACAGATGTATTGATAGTTTGAATTAAATTAAACAAATTGACTAAATTAATTTGGTAACTGAAGATGTTATTTGGATGGAGTTTCAGAATTAATTATTCTCATCTGGCAACAGATCAGCTTTTTTTTTTTTAAAACCAAGCTTTCGTATAGTCTTGCGGTGGTATGAATGATGTCAGATGGGTGATTTTAGTTCCTGATCAACATCAGTTCACTAATTTCTAACTGTTTCTCCTTGTAAAACATTGAATCTGCCAAAATGGGATCATGTGTGATATTTTGTTTACTCGGTGTTAAAGTATTGTGTTTCACTATAGTGATAGCCTTAAACTGCCCATACACTGTGACAAGGCCATGCAAAATGCCACCTAAGGGGTATGTGTAGTTTGGAATGAAATTGCAGCACGGACCCCTGCTGCTCTACTGCTGCAAAATAACAGATCTCTGCCTGGCTGCTGTTTGTAAACAAGCCAGCCAGGGATCCTGAGCGATGTTATTAGCGAAATGTGATCATGACCATGCTTGGTCAATGACATTACTCGGGATCTTGGTCCAGTTTGTTTACAAACAGGATCTGTCATTTGATTGTAATGCACCAGAGGTCTGTGCTGTGGGAATTGCAGCAGGACAACATAATCAGGTGGGGGGATTGTCATGGCAGAGGGTCATTGTTATTTTGCTTGATGATGTATATCCATCATGGACATTATGTACTTTTTTAATAAGGGAATTTCCTATGGTGTGTTGTGTGCCTGTGTGGTTTTCAACTTGGGTCCTTCTGCTTCTGTGATGCAGCTATTTTCACTCTGCCACTGGAGGATCTGAATCTTTGCAGCACATACAGTATCCTGCTTAGTGCTTCTGTCCCTGGGTTTCTCTGGTTTCCAGCTGCAGTCAATCTGCAATCAGCTCAGCTTGTAAATTGGAAGACTTCTGGAGCTTTGGACTTTTGCCTGATGATTCTGCATTACTCTGCCAGTCTCTGTATGACTCTTGCCTGCCTCTGACTACTCTTTTGGATTCTGATTTTATACAGTGCAGCTAAGACTTGTTGCTGACCTGGCCTGCCTGACTACGTTGATGCCTCAACCCTCAGTCAAAGCTCCACTTTGGACTAAACCTTACAATAGGTACCTTACATCGTGTGTGCTATTTACATTTTCAAATTTGGGGGGAATAAGATAGAAGGAGGGGCAGATATCTAGGAGGCCCTTTTTTATAAAATGGAAGCTTTCAGATTTCCCCCTACAAGATGGCCAAAATGCCCACATTATTTTTGGAGGGCAGAATGTGTGGATAAGCTCTTTGTACTGTTAACATGGGGACAAGGTGCCCTCCACGGGGGAAGCTTTGCTGTCCCCCTTCCAAGTACCATTCCAATGTTGAAAGACTTGTGGCTTGGTAGATTAAAAAAAGTAGGGAAGGGTAAATTAAATATTTAATAATAATAATAATAATAATTATTCATTATCATTGAATTTCACATTCGGCAAAATAAAAACAACTATCAAGAAGGAAAACAAGGGGTCTGCTACTGTTGAAATGCTGGTTGCCTGTTTGTCATGCTCATCTACTGGGTTTACTGTTTTCTGTGGCAAGTATCACCAAAACAGTATGCAAATGGCACGTTATACCTTCACTGGCATGTTTGTTCCAAATCTTTTATCTCATGTTAAAACCTACTGATACTTAGCATTTAGATCAATGACAAC